AGGACACCAAAAAGTGCAGAGTAACCTCCAGCCAGGCAGTGGTTTCCATTCACCTCTGATCTGACATCGGTGGTCTTCATAGAACATTCCTTTGTGAGGGGTTCTCATCACCAATTGGTGTTTTAACAGTGATGAAGACAAAAAAAAGATCACATTTGTGAAAGCTCGTAAGAAGTGGATAGATATTTCATCCTGAAAGAGCACAATCACTTTTCAAGACCATATGCAGTTATGTAAACAGCAATGTGAACACCAAACACTGGCCAAACAAATCGGACTCTTATTTTTTATTCCTGACACATAAGGCTACAAACTTGACTTTTGTTATAATTACTCTAACAGTTTGCTGCTGTTGTTTTTAATTTCACACTGGTCTTGGCACTGGGCCACACATACAGATACGGTAAGGCTGTTCTTGTAGATAAAACAATACGGTGCCACCACCCCTGAAGGCTGAAAGGCCCAAGGATGTGCTGCTGTAATTTAAATTTCTAGGTAAAGCAGTATTAATCAGAAAGGTTTTTTTGTTTCATTCGTTGTTAAAAACTATATTTTAACATAGACATATTAGTAAAAATTTCTGGCACTAAATGAAAAACACTATGAGTTGGAATCAACTCCACGGCAACTGGTTTGGTTTTTTGCTTTATCTTTCTTTGAGGACTAAAGATTCATAAAGTCTTTGTCGTCAGCCTTAATATCAGTTGTGAAAACAGAACTGTCCAAAGAAGAGACAAGGGGGAGGGCAAGCAGGTGGTGTTTCTTCACAACAACTTCTCTTTTACTATTTTATTTACTGGATTCTTTCAGAGGCTTCCAGAGCAGAGATCTGTGGGGGAGCAAAAGGGGAACTGATGTTCTTAGCATTTCAGAAACCATTCGTAGAGACATACAGGCATCTGTACAGGCCCAGGTCTACAACCATTCACAGAGCACATGCAGGCATCTGTACAAGCCCAGGTCTACAACCATTCACAGAGCACATACACGCATCTGTACAGACCCAGGTCTACAACCAGAAAATTTTCTGACTATATCTAAGTTTAAAATACTTCACTTTGTCTTTTTTTTTTTTTTCCTCCTAAAAGCAAAGGACAACCAGGAAAATTCTATCTACTTGCAAATTTGCAGTAATTATGTATTATAGAATGTATCCACATTCAATGTATCTTTAAAGTTTAAAACTCTCAAATCATCTATGACTTCTTTAAAATATCTGCTCTCACATGTAATTAACCCGCAAAACATTCTTCCCTCCATATCATCTCTCTCAACTGAACTCTACTTTCAGTTTCCCTTCACTGGGAACTTGTGTCAGACACTGGCCCAGAC